TTCTGTTTGGGCAAATTTTAATCGATTAATATGTTGACAGTTTTACATAATGATAGAAGAAATACTCTTTATTGATGCATGACTTTTGAACTACAATGAGTTGAATGTCTTAACAACTTATATTGAAAGACTCTTAGAAATTCAAACATTAGCCTTTAAACCCTTTGTTCTTTTGATAGTATGATCGTTTTGAATTGCATAGCAAGAAATACACATCAAAAGAAGTTAATTTGGCAATCATTTCTATAAACAAGTCTTACTCGCTAACATGTCATTATATCCGTTATTTTTCTTTTCCATATTCGATCGTTGCTCCGATATGATTTGTGTGTCTGGATAACATATTTTAATTAAACCTTTAAATTGTACACCGTATAACAAGCATGATGCTTATGGAAATTGTTATGAATTGTCAGACATTCTTATCACTTTGAAAGATTTTGACTTTGTTTTTCTCTTTACTCAATTCCAGGATAACCTTATTCCTTCGAGTATAGTGATTATACCAATGATAAAAAACCAAAATAATATTTCCCCACCATAGATTAGAAGAATAATCAACGGTTGATAATCAGAGATATGTCTGCAAAAAAGGGGAATCACTGGAATCAAACTCACTACTAAAGGAGACTACACGGTTAAACTAAACCGACAAGGTAGACGACTAAATTCATTTGTAAAGAAATTGACACTCCTTCGACCACCGGTGAGAAATTGTATGAAAAAAACAATGTTAAAAAAACTCCTATCTCTTTCGTCACTGACCATGGCCGTGAACATTATATTAATAAATTGATGAATTAGCAAATGATATCACACACATAGAGTGATCGCCTTTTCTACAGTTAGAGAGAAAATCTTGAAATGGATAAGAACCGAAGAAAAAAAAACGAAAAATAGACGATTGCCATCAGAAATCCAAAACCGCCAATACGAGTTCCAAACCGGTGTTGCAAGTTTTGAGTCGACAACCACAAAAAAAATTTTGGATATTCAAAAAATCACACTCTTTCGTTCACCAGTTGTATCACCAATTAAAAATTTAATATCATTTATGTGATGTTATGATTATTATCTATCACATATAAATTGTCTTTACCATGATATAAATTAAATTAATAACTTTAAAAAACAAATTTTGAGAAACTTGCGGTTAGAGACTTTTAGAGCATATCGATTTTATGGTCCAACTGAATTTTCACTAACATCTCATTTCGGTTTTGGAATCACCAATGAAGCCATAAAATTGACAAAATTATAGGCATGAATGAATAAAAAAAAAGTACCAAAATTATGGGTAGACGACTATAATAAATGGTTATATATTTGATTATTGGGCAGGCGGATGCAATTATTTCGAACACTTTTTATAAAACAGTATAAAGATAGTGACATTAATTGATTATTAGGTGGAGCTTAATTTAAAATTGAATTGACGAATAGTATTTGGAGTAATAATTTCGGATAAGAATAACTACAAAATTAATTAATATATATATTTGAGTGTGGCTTGGCTTGACTTTTAGATAGAACAGAACCAAACATGTTGTTGTTAAGTGTCGTTGGTGAAAAACAATTCATCAGTTTTCGAAAAACGCCCACTTGCCATTTACTCCGCTTTTACGGTTTCCGCCAATTTTAATTCTATTAATTTCAAACTTTTCTCTCTTTTAAAAAAAAAAAAAAATATTCCCTTCTTTTTCTTCTAGAAAAACATAGGATACTTTTTAATGACAGTCCCTATACTATTGTTTTTATGCACAATTGTACCGCTTATTTTGTATACGCTTTTGTAGCACATCATTAATAATTTGATGAGTAAATTTGTCGAAAAAATGGAAGCCACAACATGGAACGGAAAACCTGTTTTCGATCCGAGGGGAAAAAGGTATACGTTCGCTCTCATATGATAATTTTGAAATAAATTAAGAAATGTAGGGTACTTGGATGAAACTTTACCAAAAACGGGGGTGAATATATGAAACAAAGAAAAATATAGGGGTATGTATTTGGAGTTTTGTTAAACATATACACACTTACTCTTCCTTTTTTCTGCTATACTGTTACTGTTCTCTCTGCTTTTCTTTCTTTTGTTGAACCAATGTTTCTCTCTCCAGCTGTTTTCTCTCTGCCACGCTTTTCCCTCAAAAATTTAATCGTCTTCTTCACTTTAATTTGATTCCACTCGAAACAGGGACCAAGCGTTTCGTTTAATTTGCTTCATCCAGATCTACATTTCCACCCTCGTTTGCTCTGTTTTCATACGTTTCGAACCGCCGGAATCTTCGCCGACGGTGAAGATGGGTTTTTGATTTTACTGGGTTTACTAGCACAGTAAGTATTTTCTTTCCCTCGAATTCGA